AACAAGCTATAGCCAATTTGCCCTGGAGGAAATCACGGCAATTTCTTGTTTAACACTTAAAAGCTAGGCACAGTGGTGCACACTTATAATTCCAGCACTTGAGAGGCTGAGGAGGGAGGAAAGAGAATTTAGAGCCTCCTAGACTGTATGGTAAGACCCTGCCTAAGAGAAACACATGCACACATACACACACACACACACACACACACACACACACACACACACATACACACACACACACACACACACAAAAGAGAGCATGTACATATTGGCGGTAGAAAGGGGGTGTTTAGATACTCGATCATAAAGCCTTCTACACATTAAGGAAGTTCGCTTGCTAAAGCCTATTTTTCAGGTTTTTGCAATGAATGTACTAACACGGATCACAATATATTGAGAGCTGGGTTGCAGATCGGCATTCACCCATATGCTGTTTGCACGATGCGCGTCTGAAACGATGCAGGATGAGAGGAAAACAGTAAGGAAACCATGACAACAGCTGATAGAGTAGGGTGGAAGACAGAAACATTCGTTTTCATTAGAGCGAAAGATGCTTCTGGGAATAAGAAGCCCTCATGAAGGCAGAGCATTCTGGGACATCTGGATGACTTCACATCAGCACACCTGACGAAAACTCGTTCCTATCAAATGCTCTGGAGAACATGTGGTGCACAGGACGGGTGGTAGGCTTCAGTTCAGTTTCCTCAGTTTCACAGCTAATGTCAAAACAGTACTTTAATAGACATTGAGAGATTTTTTTTTTAATGTGGCAGAATGAACATGATTTCAATTACTTTTTTTTTTTTTTTAAATTTCACAGTGATAGGAAGCGAATCCTGGGCCTCACACATGCAAAGCAAGCACTCTACCCCCCAGAGCTAAACTCTCAATCCTGAGTCTACACTATTCTAATTTTACATGAAAATTTTGCAAGGCATGGTCCTGTCCTCAGGCATAATGGAAGCCTCGGCATAGTCAAAAATCAAAATTCTAGGATTTGTATCCCTCCATCACAATGATAACAAAACACTTCCAAACAGCCTGAGAGTAAAAGAGAAAGTAACGTCTTCAGGTTTGAGAAACATGCACAGAGCACGGCTGAGAATTTCCTCGGGGAAAACATCCCCTGTGGAGAGTGAGCTGCTCAACCTCAACACCTATGCATTTGGGGACACAGAAGTCTTTGTTTGGGAGCAAGGGTAGAGGGCAGCCATCCCTCATGCTGTAGAGAGTTTAACAGCATCCTTTGCCACTACCCACCAGGTATCAGGAGCAGGCCCCCGGTTGTGAGAGTGGAAAATGTCTGTAGATACCTTCAGATGTTTCCTCCTGGTGAATTTGCTCCTGCCTGAACCCTTGACATAAATCTAGGCGGTCCTATACCAAAGAAAGACAGCATGCCATAAATGGCTTAATTTGAAAAGTCTGTATCAAAAATAACCTGTGACACACACAGTGAATGTTAAGGGACAGGAGGTTAGGGTTCAGTGAGGATCAAGGAAGCTGCTGAATTGAATTTCTGGCAAAGAACTGCTTCTTCTGAAGTCCTTCTGGGCCTCCACAGGCATTGAACACACATGGTAAACAGACACACATGAAGGCAGGACACCCATACACATAAACATGTAAAATCTCAAAGTAGTAACAGTAGATAAAAGGGGCTTCCTTCCAGCTTGATAACCCAGGACCAGAGTTGTCCTCTGACCTCTGTCAGCGTGCACGCGCACGCACACACACACACACACACACACACACACACACACACACACACACAAATGATGTAAAAAGAAATCATGGTTTTATTGTGGAAAACAAAGATTTAACATTTCCCCACCATCTTCCTCATCATTTAAGTATAAATTAGTACATCTTTGGATTCTACTTTTATAGAATGTTTCATTTTTTTAAAATTGCTACTTGAGTTGCTGACCTGTTTCATAAGAAGTTGTTTGGTGATTTTTGGCTTAGGGTTAGGGCAGGATCTCCAACTGTGTCTGAAATAGTACTAAACATACTTTTGCCTTTCTGTGCTATGTATTTATGCAAAGCAGTTTCAGCATTGATGATTATGAAAATCAAAATATCAATCAACTCTGAAAAATGTTGAAGATGTTCTCCATCCTGAAGTACCAGAGTTCAGCCAAGATTCAATTCTTCATGTAAAAGTAAATAAACACATTCAGCTCATTAGTATGCAGGTTTGCCTCCATCTTTAAATGTGTACCAAAGACTTGTTTCAAATAAATCCCTTCACAATTCTCAGCAGTTAAGTGTTTGATTGGTAGGCCTGTTTCATTCTGTTGTATACCCAGGGTCATGTAAATGTTTCTTGGACGAATAAGGGGTCACAAGTGGGGGAAAAGTTTTAAAAGCCCTGACCTAGACAAGCTCATGTAAGATTAGAGACACAAATTTAAGAATAAAAACTAAGCAATACCGCCTTTAATCCCAGCACTCGGGAGGCAGAGGCAGGCGGATTTCTGTGAGTTCGAGGCCAGCCTGGGCTACCAAGTGAGTTCCAGGAAAGGCACAAAGCTACACAGAAAAACCCTGTCTTGGAAAAAAAACAAAAAAACAAAAACTAAGCAATATAATTGATGCTAGTCAACAGATGGTACCCTACTGCATCATGGCCACAACCCACCATTTGCCTGGAAGTACTTTTGAACAGGCAATGATTTAATTATATTTGTGTTCCGAAGAAAACCTTAACTAATTCTCAGAAGGACAAATGGTACACTGTGCAAACATTCACCACTTTTATGATTAGAAACTCAAGACAGAGCGACAAGAAGCAAAATGAACCACTTAGAAATTGCTAGAGTCATCTTTAGAACTCTAGGACAAAGAAAAAATTAAGGAATGAAATACCTATATATAAAAGAGATCAATCACGAAAGTCTTACACAGTATTCTTTGGGGCTGGAGAGATGGCTCAGCAGTTGAGAGCACTTATTGCTCTTTGCAATGGGCCCAAGTTCAGTTCCCAGTGCTCACATGGCAGCTCATTCACAACTCCAGTCCCAGGGAATCTGACACCGTCTTCTAGCCTCTGAGGGCACCAGACCCACGAGTGGTGCACAGACATGAAAGCAGGCAAAACACCCACGCACATAAAATACATCAAAACATTCTTACAGGGTAAAGTCTATGAGAAACACTCAAGGCACCCGTGCATAGTGAGTATGGGGAAGCCAGAGGTCAGCATCGGGATTCTCTACAGCTCTCATGTGTTTCTTTTTCCATTTTCGTGTGTGTATGTGTGTGTACATGTTTACATGTATGTGGGCACTTGTGTGTGACTTGTGAGTGTGCATGTTTGAATGTTCATATTGAAGTCTGAATTTGATGGCAGGAATTATCCTCCATTATTCTTCTACTTTATTCACTGAGGAAAGGTCTCTCAGTCACACCCATTGCTCAGTGACGTGGCTAATCTTGCTAGCTAGCTTGCTCTGAAGATTCTGTCTCTGCCCTCAAGGCTGGAATTACAGGTGGGCCACCATGTCCACCTGTCATTTACAGGAGGTCTTCACCCTCAATTTAACCATCAAGTCCTCTCCCTAGCCTTGCTCTCATTTTTAAGGTGGGGTCTCTCACTGAACCTGGACCTTGCAATTTTAGCCAAGACCCCAAGATTGATTCAACTGTCTCCACTTCCTCTCTCCCCCAAGACTTCCCCTTCCCCCACCTCCCAGCTCTGATGCCAGGGTTACAGAGGAGGGAGCACCTGGATGCTCCCTTTTGACATGCATGCCAGGGACCTGAACAGGGTCCTAATGCTCTCACAACAAGCACATCACCCAGTGAGCAGTTTTCCTGGGTCCCTAAACACTATTTACAATAAAAACAAAGGGAAATAAATAAATTTTTAAATATAATTCAAAATTGGGGGGAGATTCAACAATAATCTTTATAAGCCATAAGGAGAGGTTAACAAAGATGAAATTAGATATTAAATCAAAAACAGAGAAGAAGGAGGGATCAATTTGAGATCTTGTTTGTCTGTGACAGGATCTCACTATGTGATTCAGGCTATTCTGGCATGGCAAGCATGTGCCACCATGCCTACAAAGGTCTGATTCTTTTTGTTGTTGTTGTTGTTTTATTGTTATTGTTGTTTTTTAGACAGGGTTTCTCTGTGTAGCTCTGCCTGTCCTAGAACTCACTCTGTAAACTAGGCTGGCCTCGAACTCACAGAGATCCCCCTGCTTCTGTTCCCCCACCTAACCCCCCAGTGCTGGGATTAAAATGCACCACCACCACCCAGCAAGATCTGATTCTAACTTTAAAGAGAAGTTTTAAAACCCCACATAAAATAGAAAGCCTATTGGCTTGCTTAATAAAGAAAAAGTTGAGAACATGTGGGCACTTACCATTAGAAATCAGAGTAAATAACAAATGCAGAGGAAATAAAAATAATTCTAAGAATGTTCACATGAGCCTTAATGAACCATGCATGCATTTACACTGTGTTTGTTTGGGCCAAGAGTTCACGCTGTTCTAAATCCTGGAAAGCAATCTGATTATACATCTTACAGATGAAGAAACTGAGTCCCAGTGAGGTCACACTTGGCCAGTGTCACCCACCTGGCAAGGGATTGGGCCAGAATTCAGAAGTGGGCTTCCAGCATCTGTACTCTTGGCTGCTCATTGCGGCACAGGGAACAAGGCTGAGCCGTGCCCAGCATGGAGCTTGCATCATGAGATGATCCATTCACAGCTGGACTGACCTCCTGTATGGACAGCATGCTGACCATCGGCCCAGGGCGGATGCCAACAGAGTGGCAAAATGCAGGTGTTCTGCATCATGCAGAAGTTGGGGAGAACGGAACTCCACCTTGAGATTCTCCTGTGGAGATCCTTGTGGGAAGCACAGGCCAGCATGGAAATGGCCTCTTGCCACCTCTCATTCACAAGTTCCTCCTCTGAGCCTGAGAGGCAGGTGCCGCGTTTGGCAAGGCAGAGCCTTCTAACACGATCATCCTGTCCTCTCTCAGATCCAGGAGATGGTCCACTCGGAGGTAGCTGCCTACGACTCAGGCCGGCCAGGGCCCCTGCTGGGCCGCCCTGCGATGCTGGCCAGCCACATGAGTGCCCTCAGCCAGTCCCAGCTCATCTCCCAGATGGGCATCCGGAGTGGCATCGCCCACAGCTCCCCATCACCCCCAGGGAGCAAGTCAGCGACTCCCTCTCCATCCAGTTCCACACAGGAGGAGGAGTCAGATGCCCATTTCAAGGTGCGTGAGGTAGAAGGGCATAGCTACAAGGTACCTCCCCAGTGGAGAAGGGGCTCTGCCAGCTCATGCCATCATGTCTCTCTGGAAAAGACCAGAAAGGCTTAGTCCTTTGTTGGAAACCGAGAGTCAGCATGGACCCCTGGTCAGAGGGATGGCACTAGGCCTTGGGACATCAGGCTGTGGCTGCTGAATCTCCTGGAGACCCTCTCCTTCAGGCACGTGCTGGCCCTGCAGAGGCCCAGTGCCCAGCCACAGTGTCCATGACGGGAGGCCCTGAACTGACCAGGTTCTGTGTACTTCTCCTCATCCTGGTCCAGCATCCTTCTCAGGATAACTTGGCCTACATCACAGGCCGACTGGGGGTATTTTCTTCTTTCTCAACCCTCTCCTTCATGTCTTCCTCCCTCCGTCCCCCCCCCCCATTTTACCTCCCTTTGTTTCTACACACTCCTGGGGACTTGGCTTAAACCCTTGCCTGTGCTGGTGCTGGGCAAGTGCTCTATTGCCAGGCTCCATCTCCAGCCTCAGGGGTGGTTTCTCTTTTATTTTGTTAGTTAACGGACACTCCTCATGTCTAGATATAGCCCAACTGGAGAAGTGTTTTCCTGGCAGGCACCAAGCTCTGGACTCAACCCCTACATCACATAAACTAGATGTGGTGGCACAGGCCCGGAATCTCAGCACTTGGGAAGAAGAGGCAAGGGATCAGAAGCTCAAGGTCACCTTCAAGTCCAATGTTGTTCTTAACTACACAGAAAAGCTAGCTTGGGCCACGTAAGATCTTGTCTCACAAAAAAACAAGCAAATAACAGCAACAAAAACCCTCTGTAACCCACAGATCAGACATTTTTATAAGCACACAATAAATACCCTTCCTCTAGTTCTCATAACAGTCCTACATGGTAGGTAATAGTTATTTATTATCCCCATTTGGCAGATGGAGAAACTGAGGCATGGAGTAGTTAATTAACATATCAGTGCTGTACAGCCAGAATTCATACCCAGATGGCTGCAATGCAGCCTGGCATATGTACCCTTAACCACTGCCATGTCATATCCAATGGCCTCTGTCAATCAAGGGACCTGCCTTCAGAACCGGGGCAATGGGAAAGTTCTTGGGTGGCAAGTGTGAGGACGTGAGTCCCTAGCACTGAGGACTCAGAGACAACCGGATCCCTGGGGCTTGCTGGTCAGCCAGCCTAGCTGAATGGGACACTTCAGGCCAATAGGAGACCTTGTCTCAAAATAAAAAAAAAACAAAAAAAGAGGTAGACAGTACCTTAGTAACCACACTTGAAATGAACAACTGTCTTTCACACCCATACACACACACACACACACACACACACACACACACACACACACACACACAAAGAGGCCTGTTTTAAGTCCTCATCTTGCCAAGGCCTCACCAAGGGCTGAAGGGCTGAAAGCCTGGAGAGTCCCCCAAGGGACACTTGGAACAGCACCAGCCAGATTCCAGGCCTCTCAGGCATGAGGTCTGAGTCTAGCCACTGGCCCAGAACTTGCTGCCTTCATCTTGTTGGCATGCAGAAGCACAGACCTCACTTAGGATCCAGGCCTTGGTTCAAAGGCCCCAGTACCTTGTTAGCCTAAGAGTCCCCAGAGAGAACAGCTGGGGTCTATGAAAGAAATCCTAATGCCTCCTCATCCTGGAAACCCTAAGTCAAGTGTGTTTGAGACTGTGGCCCTATAGTCTGTTCAGGCGAGTCCTCTGACTGGGCGGCGGCCATGTTACCTTGCCCTTCCCAACACCAGAGTCCTAGGAGGAAACCATTGTCTGGAATCACAGCTGAAGTACAGTGAAGGTGTACTTATACCCTATATAATCAGGGGCATTAGTTGGATATTACTTATGATCATGATGAGGAGGGGCAGAATAACTGAGAAAAACATGGAGTTAGACCCTGGAAACAGGCCCCCAGTGGCTGGACCTCATTCTTGCAGATACAAGGGTCTAACAGGTACACAGAAGACCACTTCATTGTCGAGGAGAATGGACCCTTGGTTTCTTATTTTCACTTTGTGAGATGGGGGTCTTCACTTTGTGAGTATGTTGCCCTTACTGGCCTTAATCTCTCAATCCTCCTGCCTCAGCCTCCTGAATACAAGGATTACAGGCTGTACCACCATGCCAGGCTTTGGGCCTCTCTCATTATTCAGTGTTGGTCAGGAGACTTTGAAAGTCTGCAAAGATAGATGTTAACATGGCAGGGAACAGAGTGCTAGAAAAACAGAAAAGGGTGTTGTTTAGATTTTGAAGTGATAGAATGATAAATGGCTTCTGTCCATAGGGGGAGTAGAAAATCCCAGAGTGCTGATTTTATGGCAGTCTAGGGCACTGGCCAGCCTCGCCACCAAGTTAGTGTTCTTGGCTTGGCAGTCTCCGGGGACTTTCAGGATTCTCTGAATGAACACACATGCTGGTTCTCCCTAAAACGTTAAACCTACACCTCAGGCTGCTACCCAGGGTGCATGGGCATCTGTCTGTCTTTCTGTCTCTTCATGCCTGTGGGTCACTCTGTCCCTGAGATCTGGGTCTGTATGTGGAGTTGTGTCTTGTTCTGTTTGTCTGTCTCCCTGTATCTCTACATCTATGTGCATATGTCTATTTCCATCTACATGTATGTGTGTGTGTTTGTGTGTGTGTGTGTGTGTGTGTGTGTGTGTGTGTGTGTGTGTGTGTGTGTGAGTATGCACCCATCTATCTGTTGTCTGGTCTGTGTATTCATGTATGCCTACCTGTGTGTATGCATCTGTTGCCACCCTCCTCCAAATGCATGACAGTGTTGGCCCATCTGCCTGGGTATGAACCTCTGGTGGGGAAGCCCTTTCACTGCTTGAGAGAGAACAAGGCTGGGTGGGTCTGAGGTAAGCTGCTAAGAAAGCCTAGCTTGACCCGAGGTTAGCTCGAGTCGCTTGGACTAGGAATCCCTTGACTTCTTCAATTTACTGACTCCTCTCCTCTGGCAGATCTCGGGCGAGAAGAGACCCTCAGCAGACCCAGGTAAAAAGGCCAAGAACCCAAAGAAGAAGAAGAAGAAAGACCCCAATGAGCCACAGAAGCCTGTGTCGGCCTACGCTCTCTTCTTCAGAGACACCCAAGCCGCCATCAAGGGGCAAAATCCCAGTGCCACCTTTGGGGATGTCTCCAAAATAGTGGCCTCCATGTGGGATAGCCTGGGAGAAGAGCAGAAACAGGTGAGCCTCCATCCCTTTCCAAATTGTCCCTGAGACTTTGGGCACTGGAACCAAGATAGCAGGCTTGGCCTCTGGGACTAGAGGTTCCTGCAAGGGGCTCGTCTGTAAGCTGGGAAGCGATGTCCCTTCCATCCCCAATGACCTCCAGTACTGTCCACACCTGCCTTCACTGGGCCCCTGCCTCCCCATCCATAAACCAGTGTGCCTCTCCATCCACATCTAGCAGTCCCCTCAACTCAGACCTTACATCTCCACTGCCCATGTGGTCTCTCCGAAGGCCTCCAGGTAGAAGGGATCAGAGCCGGCTCATGCAATTGGAAATGCTTTACCAGCTAGGCACCTCAGACTGACTACCTAACCTCTTGGAGCCCTGACTTCCCTACCTACTGACTACCATGCTTGGAGCATGCCTAGGCTAAGCCCCACAGGGATCCCCCCTCCATCACCTCATTACATCTTTACAACACCCGGGGTCACCATCCATTGGCTCTTTTGGAAGTGGAGGGTGTGGGGGGACACATTAGGACCCTGTTTCGCACGGTGAGGAGTGGAGTACTGTCCGTGGGCATGTGGGAAGCACAGAACGGTAGCAAGCTGCGGGTAGAGACATGGACCACGGGTGTGAGTTAGGTGGGTCCTTTGTCATAGTTGGCAATGTAGAGGGAGACTTTGTGGAATAGTCTAGTACCCGTAGTTTAAGAGATGGTCTAAGAACCGCTGAAAAGAAGTAGAGACAAGAGACAGGGAAGGCAGAGGACATAGCCAGAGAATTCCCACTGTGGGCAAGAGGAGCTCTGGAGCCAACACAGACCCCTTGTCTTTGTTGACCCACCTGAGCTGCGAGGGTGCTGGGTGAACCCCAGCTTTGTTAGCCGTTGGTCGAGAGCTGCTCTGGGGGAGAGTAATCCTCTCACATTTCTAATCTCACTCGTGTGGCAGGTCGGGGTCTTGCTCCTAGGAAGAGGTCTTTGATGGGTTTTTGCTGTTGGCCTTGGATGCTGTGTGTGCTGCTGCTGCTGCTGCTGCTGCTGCTGCTGCTGCTGCTGCTGCTGCAGGAAGAGCCAGGGAGGCTGCCAGCTTTCATTTTGAGACCTTTGTCATTTTCTTATGTTGTGGGTTGTGCTGGACTCGGTAGGGTGGTTCATCTGTTGCCTTTGATGAGAGCTGACTATGCTCCTGCAACCAGCTGAAACACACAAGGCAGTTCTTCTATCTTCAAGAAGATAGATGTGGATCTCATGGTCCCAGAGGCTAGCCAGGTGCCTTAGTCATGTTCTATTGCCATGAAGAGACTCCATGACCAAGGTAACTCTTGTAGAAGAAGGCATCTAATTGAGGGCTGGCTTACGGTTTCAGAGGCTTAGTCCACTATCATGGTGGCAGCGATCATGGTGGCAGGCAGGCGTGGTGCTGGAGAAGTTAACGAGAGTGACACTCTGATTTGCAAGCAGAGAGAGAGACAGAGAAGGAGAGAGAGAGAGGGAAAGAGGGAGTGAGGGAGTGAGGGAGAGAGGGAGAGAGAGAGAGAGAGAGAGAGAGAGAGAGAGAGAGAGAGAGAGAGAGAGAGAGAAATAGAGATCCTGGGCCTGGCATGG